AAGATAATAATTAAATATTTTGTTAAAACTCAATAGTTATCCTAAGTATATTTTAGATTTTTTATATTTAAAATAAGATGTTTATCATGTATTTGATTATGTTTATATGCAGATAGTTACATGAATTCAAAAATATAATTTTAATAAGTTGTATTTATGCATAATTTACTTTTAATATTTACTTTTAAATAATAGACATCAATAAACAATATTTCTTGCATAAAAAATAGTTTTCAAAAGTTTTTGTTAAATACTTTATAATATAGTATAAGATCATTCATGACATTTATAGTAGGTTTGAATTCTTGTAAGACTAATTTGTATCTATGAGAAAAACCTGATATTATAAAATAATATTTAATTTAATAGTACACTGTAGATTTATATTGTTTATTGTGAAAGTTTAGAGATATCTTATAGTTTTACAGGTCTCATGAAAAAAGATTATTTCACATGATTCTAACTCTATAGAAGTATTAGGTATATGATGTTCTCACGTTATAAGTCACATGGATCATTTCGAAAGCATGAATTTTGTAATGTCTCGTAAACAAAAGTAATTTTAAGAGTTTTGTTTTTATCATCTTTCTAACCTCTTTTTGTTTCTTTTTTTTTTTAACTTAGAACAAAAGTGTTAAATTGAACTCTCTTTTTTTTTTTTGTGAAAATATGGAGCGGTTTGTTGTATATGGCTCAAAAAAGTATGAATCCAGATACTTTTTATATAGGTCATCGACTCTTCTCGCAAAAATTCTGAATCGATGGCTTTTTATCAAAAGTTGTTACATTTTTAGAAAAGTTGTTGTTTTCTCATTATGTTCATTTGATATTAAAATGAAACCACGGCCTTTAATTTAATTTTCGTTCATTGTTGCCGTTACCTTTGATAGTTTAACCGTCTTTATATCGTACATTTTTTGTCGATGTTGTTAATTAAACATGCTACACCAAATAATGGTATCTATAATACCCCTTGCAAACAAGACATGTAGACATCTCGTCTAGTTTATTTAAAAGCGTAACGCATGTTTTTCGTCCATGTGGCTTGTTACAAATTTATACTTTCGTGGACATTTTCAATTGGCAAAAGCAAATAAACACAAACATAAGTCATTTTGCATTTTTTAAGAACGTTACTTTTTAAAAAGTAAATTTTGTTTTCATTCTTGTTGTTTGTCAAAACTGCAAATATTAACTAGATGAAAGTTTAGAATCACTTCTTTATTTCTCAAATATTTTACTACTTCTCAAATGAATATATATATATATATATATATATATATATATATATATATACATGTTTAAGCTAAAAGTTTTGGAGATAGATTGCATGTTTTATGCACAACATTTTTAATGTAAATATAATCAGTGTAACATATGTCGTGTCTATACAATCATGTGTAGTGCTTTGCATGGAAACGTAACTGACAAAGTATAAAACTGATTAGTATCATTTATTTAGGAGCCGACGATATTTAACGTTAAAGTTACTTCTAGTAAATATAAAAAGTAAGTTTTTTTAAGCGATGAGCACATAATATAATTGTATACTGCAAATGAATGATGTTTGTACTGTACAATCACATTGAAAAGTCTAGTTGTCATGCGTGATTATTTGTCTTAAAACGAGATTTAACCGTTTTAGTTTAAGTTGATGCATAAAACTACCGAAAGAAGAAAGGAAAAAAATGCTTTTTGATTAATGCTTTTTTATGATAATTTAATGCTACTACGTATTTATCATAAAATATATTAATATAAATTGATTTTAATTATTTATCCAATAACAGTATTTTAAATCAAATATATAATAGATAACAAAATTATTTTATAAGATATATTAAATATTTTAATAATATAATTTAAAATAAAAAAGATGTTGGAAATAAACTTAAGTTTTGATGTTAAATATGTTACGCATGCCTTTAATCTTAATATAGGGTCATGTGTGTGGGCACAAAAGACTCTATACGAAACCACAAGGATGTGTTTAATTGGTTTGAATTTGACTCCAAATATCAAAAATATCAGGAGCTCTTAGTTTCAAATCTAAAGAGGAATAAAAAAATCTCCTTGTGACCACGGAGGTTCAAATACGGTGACTCCAGGCTATCTGCAAAGCAGGTGATCGCCCTGGGATTAGTCGACTCGCATAACGGGTAGGATATCTAGGTTAATAAAAAAAAACTCCATACGATGTAACTTGTTTTGAATGGTTGATGAACTGGGGGTAAACATGAACTACTTCACGTGGTCGAATGGCACACACTCATGATTTATGATTACATTCAATTCTAATATCTAACAGATTCTTTAAAATAAAATAAAACATATTTTTTTATTTTAAAAGATTTTTTCAAAAGAATTACAATAAAAAAGAAATATTATTTAATATATTTTTATCAATATTACATTTTGAAGATAAATGTTTGTAGATATAAATAATACTTTATTAAGTGAAATGAATATTTTAATAATATAATAAATATTGTAATATTTAAAATAGATAATCTGTTGAAATTTAATGTATTTTTATTTTAGAGATTTTGAAGATTCGTTATCCACTTTTGAGAAATTTGAAAAATCTTTTGAAGATTTTCTATGTTATTCTATTTTAAAGATATTAAGGTCGATTAAAATTTTAAAATATTTTATAATTTTGTCATTTAATGCACTTTAAAGAAAAACTTTATATAAAATAAGAATAATTTAATCTTATTGATGGGAATCGATTAAAAAAATTATCTTTACATCAAAAATTTGAGAATTTTTTAAAACTAGGGTTTTGAATATTTTTTCTATTTTAAATACAATATAGATAACCACTATTAAATAGAGAATCAAATCTTCATTTTATTTATTTTAAATAAAATAAAAATTTAGAAAAATCTAACGAACTTCCCATTCTAAAGAATTAAGTTCGTGAACATTTTTTTTGAATTAATAAACCATTAAACATTTTTATCTTAAATGATTAAGTCACTGAACATATTGTTTAAATAAATAAATCATCAAACTTTAAAAAAAATAAGATTGAAAAAAAAAGAGATTGACAACAAAAGGGCAAGGGTAGTAATGGACGATGACAAAGAGCAAAAGACGATGAGACAGTGATGGGTTTGAAGACGTGGGGCTTGGGAAAACGGTTAAACTGAATTTTAGTGTGTTTTTTTCTTTAAAACTTTTATACCCAGTTACAAGTAGCTTTTAAGGTTAAAAGATGTAAGTAATCAATTTCTAAAATTTCAGTAATTTATCTGCTTTCAAACACTTAATCATTTAAAACAAAAAAATCAATATGTTTTTTATTTAGATGAAAAGTATAAGAACGATAAAATTCGTTGGTTTTTTTGAATCCGTTTAAAAAACTTGTTAGAGATTTTGGTAATTTTATGTATATTTTTTTTCCAACAAATATTTTAAAACCCTTTGAACTTTCAGAGAATGTCTCAAAAGTTATTACAATGTGAGAGGATTTTTTTTGAAATATATTTTCACCAACAAAAGATTTTGAAAATAAATATTTAAATAGACAAATAATATTTTTTTAGATAAATAAAATATTTTAATAATATAATCAATATTTTCAAAATAAAAATTTTAAAATTAAAAATATTTTTATTTTATAAATTTATAAATTCAATTCCATATTTTAAAAAAAANAAAATAAAAATTTTAAAATTAAAAATATTTTTATTTTATAAATTTATAAATTCAATTCCATATTTTAAAAAAAATTAAAAAATCTGTTGAAAATAATGTTACAACATTTTTAATGGATTTTTCAAAATCAAAAAAATAGAGATTTTGATAATTTTGGAGATGTTTTTTTTTTTTGCTGGATTCTCTAAACTTTAAAATAAATATTTAAAAAATATATTTTATTTAATAAAATAACTATTTTAATATTATAATGGAGTGTCCCTGTGATAAGTGTTAGTCCGGACCGGAAGCACATGAGAAGACACGTTTCATGAGGTGTTGCACAACCATCTTTTCATCCAAAACTCCTAAATTTATTCATTTCTACAAAACGTTATACATATGGGTAAGACTCTCTTTCATTTTTTATTTTATTTTAATATTATATATGTCATTAAATTTTTTATTTTATAATATTTTCATTATTTTATTTAATTAAAGACTTGTTATTTGCTTTTTATTTCCCTCTTACAAAATATATATTTTATGTTTAATAGAATGAAAATTATTTATTTTTGGTTATTGTTCACATCTGTGAAAGCATAAAAATATATGGCTTGAACATGTTTTAAAAAGTCGTAAAATTGAAAATACAAACATATATGTTTTTAGCT